GAAGTAGCAGCGGAGACTCACAGGAAGAGCCTACGGTGGCGAAGGCGAGACAAAGCGCCCGCCAGCGGGATCCCGGAAGCCGCCCTCTCCTTTCCCGCGGCGTGCCTGATTGACAGGTCCCCACCCCAGCGCCCCTGATTGTATGGGGCTTCAGGACCCGCCCCCTCAGGCCCTGAGTGACAGGAGATTGCGATCTCACGTGAGGCTGGATGTGGCCAGAATGACCCTTTTGGCCTAGTGGTTTATAGGGTGTGCGTCCTTCCTGCGCTGGGATCTGACCAGGCAAGGAGCACATTCGCATTTAACCTTGTATACAAGATTATAGCTATTTTGCGTAATAAGATATAAAATTGCAAGCAATATAATGGCAATTCTGTAACTGCCCAGTGGGTTCACCTTGCCCGCTACCTAGACAGAGCCGATTTCTCAAGACGGGGGGAATAGCAGTAGAGAAGGAGTAATTCACGCAGAGTCGGCTGTGCGGGAGACCGGAGATTTGATTTTTATTTTATTTTATTTTATTTTATTTTATTTTATTTTATTTTATTTTATTTTATTATTTCTGAAACAAAGTCTTGCTCTGTCGCCCAGGCTGGAGTGCAGCCTCTTAGTTTTATGATTATTCAAATCAGTCTCCCTGAGTATTTGGGGATAAGAGTATTTAGAAAGTTTATTTTGCCAAGGTTGGGGATGCTTGTGCATGACACAGCCTCAGGACATCCTGATGACAGTTGCCCAAGGTGGTCACAGCACAGCTGGGTTTTGTTGGAGATAAATGCTCGGTGACGCAAAGTGAAACCAGCACTTAAGCAAAAGTTTTCTCAGCAACGCAGTTTACCTCTGCGGAAGCGTGCTGCTCGCATCAATCACAATCGCAAGAGCACACGGAACAAAGAAAAGCAGGGGTTTTTATTCCTAATGCAATCCCTACCTCTGGCATGGGCTGGGGCCAGACCTCAAGATCTAAACTGACCCCGTTGGCTATTTGTGAATACTTTCCCAAATAAGGAAGGGGGAAGGGAGTCGTGAGTTACAACGGTGGGACGTGTGGTTTCGAAGGGAGAAATGGGTGCAGAGCAGGTAACCAAGGGAACAGATGTGAGTTATTGATTAGAACTGACGGGGGAAGGTTGTTTACAGTAACTAAGGGCAAGGAGGCATGGAGAACAAGAAAGTTGAGTTCGAGAACAAAACACAAGAACGTTAACTTGCCAAACCTTGGAAGAGAAACTGACTGTATCTGACAGTTTTACACATTTTAGGGAGACAGGAGACAGCAATCAACATATGTAAGATGAACACTGGTTTGATCCGGTACAACCTGAAGTAAAAGTGAGTCAACTGGAAGCCAGGAGGGGGCTTCCAGGTCACAGGTAGGTGAGAGAGGAACAGTTGCAGTCTTCTGAGTTTCTGATGAGCCTTTCCAAAGGCGGCAATAAGATATGCATTCTTCTCAGCGAGCAGCGGATGACTGACTAGAATGGGAGGCAGGTTTGCCCTAAGCAGTTCCCAGATTGATTTTTCCTTTATCTTAGTGATTTGCGGGGCCCAAAATATTTTCCTTTCCAATTTCCCCCTTTTGTTTTAAAAATATTTTGGAGAAAGCATTTTAGAAGAAAATCAGTCTCTGGTGGCAGGTTTTGTCTGACTTCTCATGGAGTAGCTGAGATTACAGGCGAGCGACACCACACCTAGCTAATTTTTTTTTTTT